GGGGTCAAACGCGCGGCTTGGAAGCCAGTGGCCACGCGGACCCGGGGTGCAGCGGCGGGCGCGGGGAGACCCGTCAGAGCGGCCGGCGGACCTGCCCGTGCACAGGCCCCAGACCCGTCCAGGCGCGCTGCTGTGCCAGGGCCTCTGCTGCCCCTTGGGCCCTAGCCGCAGCCCCAGCACCCGCAGGGATTGCCTCTCGGCAGTAGTGGGTCTGCCGCCCCTCAAAGCCCAGGCCCCCTGGCTGCCCTGCTCCCCCCAGCGTCGCGCACCCCACTGCCTGCAGGGCTGGGCCGCAGAGCAAGCAGGTGCCCAGGCCCCACACCTGGTCGGCTGTTGGTGGGCGTGCAGAGCTGGGCCCCGGGCTCGGCTGCCTTTCTGGGGTCTGCGGGCAGCGATTTCCCGACCGCTGAGGACGGCAGGTGCGGGAGGCCCGGGCACAAGAGCTCTCGGGGTCGCTGATGTGGCACCTGGGGCTTCCAGGGCCTGCAGGGCCGGGGGGCGGCGGGCGGGGGGCGGGCCACGGCCATGCACACGGAGGGGCCGCAGAGCCTCCCAAAGGCGGGTCTGGGCGTGGGCGCTGTTTCCTCCCAAGTCCTGGCCTGAGACACGGGGATGCCACGTGGGGCCTGACCGACGGCTCCGCTCCCCAAGCGTGGGGGTCGAATGGGGCGCCTGCAGGGCCCGGTGCGGCGGACCCTGCCCCGCCAGCCCTGGCACAGGCCCTGTCCTGGTCGCAGCTGGCCCTGCCCTTAGGCCCAGACCCTCCAGGGCACCCTCCAGGTAAGGGAGCCCACGCTGCCTTCCAGGCAGGAGCGTCTCGTGTGGGCGGCCGTGAGTCAGGTGAGCAGATACGGGCGTGGCTGGAAGGCATCGGACCCCGGCAGGCGCCCAGAGAGCGTGGCTCTAACCTGTCACTCGTGTCCTCTGCAGGTCCCGCTGCTGATAGCACAGAGCAGGGCGCCCCTCAGCCTGCTCTCTTTCAGGGGTTCTGCAGCTGGCATGGAAAACGTCCAACAAAATGAAAGACCTCGCGGAGCTTTTATTACAGCTGACTGTGATAAGTGTCGTGCTACTTTTTATTGCTGATAATCATCCTGCGCCTGATGTACAAAGTGTCAAAAAAGTAAAAGCCTATTCACAGGTATGCAGGTGCCGGACACGCCTGGTGTCTGGGGGCTGCCCCGCCCGGCCGGCAGGGCTGGGCGCCTGCAGCGTCCCGCTGCCCACTGGGGCTGAGGGCCTGCAGGCCGGACCCGTCAGCTGGGGCAGGAACGGCAGGAATGGCGGGCACGGACGGGCAGTTCCCAGGACGACCGCGCTTTCTCTGCCCCTGGCATCTGCCCCTGCCCCTGGACAGGCTCAGCCCGCTCCGGGGCGCCCCCGCGGCCAAGGTGCTGGGAAAGCGGCAGAAGCTGGGCCTTCACCTCGCTCCCGCCGTCCGGGGGGCCTGACCGCGCCTGGCGATTCCCGGCCGGCGCGGCTTGAGCTGGGGACAGGGTGGCTCGGCCAGGGCGGGCCCCGGCGAGCGTGCAGGACCC